AGCGCTGAAAGTGCTACACTCGTCTAATCCCTTCTATTCTCCATCACCTGCCTTTGTGTGTCCACTTCATTTTCCTTCATTTGAACAGAGAACACTGTGAACAAGACCACTTGTCTGTACTAAAGAAAGTTAAACGCTGTTCAAACTGACTTTGCGAGAAAAGGGTTTAAATTATGGAGCACATTTGGAGGACTAAAACCGGTCCTAAAGAAGTCAGAACAAAAGGCTGAGGATTTTTAAAAGGTATATCCACATTTTTTTTTGCAACACGGAAGTAAGCTGTTTTATCTGAAGGCACAAAAACTCCAATTCATTAGCTGCTAGAATACTAGAAGATGTGCAGTGTAAAACTATTTGAGCTACAAACCAGCGTGTTTACAATTATAATAATACATTAAAATAATGTGATAACAAATAAGTTTGAAATATCAAGCAACATATCGAACTGTTTTTCTACAGGTAAAATAACTGGAAGCTAATGACACCGGAAGTCTCGCACAACATCCAAGTTACAAATGGCGGCACCCGCTCTTGAGTTAAAAATATATACTGGACAGTTCTAAATCTACATATCACATGGTTGAACAGCTTTACTTTTTTTTTTTTTTTTTGCATGCTACTGTACCTTACAGTACAGTAGCAATCTACACAATCTGTTTTACCTGATTGGGCAAATCCATCCTGTTGAAGAAAAAAATGGTTTCCACTAAAAAATACCATTACAAACCATCAACTGTTAGCCATTAAAACCATTACCTAATGGTTTCTAGTAGCAATGGTTTGGAATTGGCTACTTGTAAACTGTTGTCGTGGGTTTAAATGGTGTCTGAAGCATAACAATGACTGTAAAATATGTATTTTAGGTATGGAAGTGGCATATGTTGAGTTCTGATTTTGGATAAGGTCACTGGGCTTGTTTTGGGATATTTTTGATTGGTGTTTAGGCTGGTTTTGCTACAGACCTGGCAGCCCTGTCCAGTAGTGTGTTTTGGGTCAAATTCCATTAGGATTTAGTGGTTTTAACATGGCACCAATTCAGGCAAACAATTTACCAGTAGAGACCCACAGGGACCATTACAGTTTCAATTAAACCAATACATTTCCAATTATAAACCATTATATATGTGGGTTTTTTCAACAGGGCAGTGACCAGTTCTTTCTCTAAACTGCAAACTGTTGGGGCCAAGGTCAAGCTGGTTAGTTAGAGAGCACATACACTCTTAAAAATAAAGGTGCTTCAAAAGGTTCTTCAAGCGATGCCATAGAAGAACCATTTTTGGTTCCACAAAGAACCATTCAGTCAAAGGTTCTTTAAAGAACCATCTCTTTCTTACCTTTTTGTAATCTGAAGAACCTTATTTCGCCACAAAGAAGCTTTTGTGAAACAGAAAGGTTCTTCAGATGTTAAAGGTTCTTTATGGAACCATTTAGACAAAAAGGTTCTTCTATGGCATCGTGAAGCACCTTTATTTTTAAGAGTGTAGGAGCAGAAACACAAAAGTTATTGGTTATTACCGATTCTAGAAACCAACCTGACCTGGTTTTACCAACAGGAATGGTGCTGCAAATCACTCTATCACACACTTTATTTAATTTAGTCCTTCAACACGCTTATTATCCTGATCTTATCAGGGAGGCTGAATACGGCTTCAGAAATGAAGTCGATTTATGATTTATTAATGTCCAATTTCTCCCCGCTGCACACCTACAGGACGAATCTGATAATGTAGGGGTGATAGCGAGACAGAGAGAGATGGATTTTGCAAAATAAAGTAGATGGAAAAGAGAGTATAGATGATTCTTCAGAGCCGTACAAATACAGAGTATTCAACTCTATTCACTACTTTTAATATGAACACATTACAATTAAATTGAACCAAATCTAGTGGTTTAGTCTGAGCTTTGAAGCACAAGCCCTATAGCACTGATATACAAACAAGTAAAGACACACACCATCTCATGAAGATTCATAATCATGCCTAACAGTGACAGAATATTTGTAAATATTCTCCTGAAACTTATTCTGGCAAAGCGCTATACTGTCAAAAAACATGAAGTTACCAAGCACACTTGATATTTTTAAGTGTCTCAAGAACACGCCCACAAAAGGGGAACTGGAAGAGTGTTCTGACGTTTTGAAACTAAAAAATGGCGGACGCCACACGGAACCGCAGCAGTTTTAAAATGAAAACGCAGCGGTGTAAACCTATTCTCTGTTGTTTCAACTATGGGGCTCAAAGCAACATATCTCCCGCTGCTCATCATCCTCACCAGCCCTGAAGGTCAGAATCATCTACCGAGACCAATAATGCTGCCTAAATCTGACATTCTTTCATGATGCTCTTCAGGCTAGCAATAATAATAATGATAATGATGATGAGATTAGATTGTGCTGCATTCATTTTTACTCTTTCTGCTCCCTTTATGACTTTGTGTTGTTGCAACTTACAAAATGTAATGTTGACTTGCATGAAATGTTTAGCTTTGCATGTAATGTACAAAGTTTATACACGTAGGAACACACTATGAGTCCCTCTGGACAGCCAGTTTTCTTCTAAGAGCATTTAAATAGTGAATCTTGCCTTTGTTCCAAAATTTGCCTTTCCCAGGTGCTGTGTGACTGTTTCAAAGAAAATCCCACAGAGCATTCTGCGATCGGTTTCCAGATATGAGATATAGAGCAAATCTGGTGTCTGCGACTTTGATGCATTGATGTGAGTGTTTAAGATACAGACACACAAATGACATATGAATCATGTGCTCCTGTGTTTACTGCTCTTCAGATTACATTTCAGAAACAAACTGATCTGCGCTCATCCCAGAGTGTTGAAGAAACTGAAGATTCTCTAACACCAAACTGGCTTAAATGCAAACAGGAAATGAATGAACGTGATCGGGAAATCTGTTTATAATCCAGGTGGCAGTGATATACTTATAGTTTCAATATTTGCTGCATTGGATGTTTTAAAAGTTATCTTTCAACTGATTGTACCAGACATTATGTAGGTCACTACAATATACAGTATGTATTCTTTGTTTGCTCTGCTTTTTAATGAAATAAATCTCTTCAGCTTTGGCTGCATGTTGGTGATTGTTTGTATAACCTTTTATTTATCTTTTTGTTGTTCATATTCTCTAGTTTGTAAAAGTTGTGTTCAGCTGTTTTTTGTAGCAATCTGTGAAATGGGTGACTTGTAATATTTCCAAAAATGGGGGGAGCCCATTTAGAAGCAGTGTCTGTAACCTTAAAGGGGTCATATGATGTTGCTAAAAAGAACATTATTTTGTGTATTTGGTGTAATGAAATGTATTTATGCGGTTTAAGGTTCAAAAAACCTTTTAAGGTTGCTTGTAACACTCCAAAGAGAAAGGAAAACTTGAAATCGCATCATATGACCCCTTTAACAGCCCAGTATTTTGGCGTTTTAAAAACAACCGTTTTTACGATTATGACTGCATACACAAAACATGGCAAGACTTCATCAGCCAATAGGAAAAATTAAAGTGAATGATAGGGACTGTGAAACACTAAGAAGGATTGTGTCCACAGAACTACTGACAGCAAACCTCACTATTCACTTCGAAGACCCTGTTTCCACAAAAACCCACCGCAGAGAACTTCACAAAGCCAACATCCATGAAAGAGCTGCAACTGCTTTAATCACAGACACCAGTGCTAAAATGTGAAAAAAATATGGTGTCACGTTCATAAAACGTCAACATCTGCCCTGGTCAGACAAATCTAGAAAAATCAATCCACTGTGGGCAGTTTGGAGAGAAAAGTGAGAAGCTGATTCCCTTTTTCAACATCTCTGAAACAACTGGCAGATGTTCTGATAAACATCAGCCCACTGTAGACTTTTCAAAAGTTGTACAAATCTATTCTAAGAAGGTTGGAAGCTGTATTTAAATCGAAAAACAAAATTTTGTCCAACCAATGTTTTTCCAAGCAGTCTCTAAATAAATCAATGGCGATTTATATGCAAACAATTCTTACATTTTTTTTAAGCTGTACTGAAACAATGTTTTTGAAGAACGTTCTAGAGTATTAGTCTTTTCTGTTCTTAACACTTTTAAGATACTATATTAAAGACGGATTGTTACATGCCAGTCTGTTTTAGCCAGAGATAAAGAGGAAATGCATTGACGTAACTTTCGCGCCCTTAGTTGTACTTTGACATAAAACCAATATCTCGCTTACTTGCTACCAAGTGTCTCAAGCAAAGCCACCTTCAAAACTGTATCATGCATGAAGCAAACTGATAGTCAAAAGTCAAAGACAGTCAGTCACACAATGCAGAATCACTCAGATCTGGACTAGATCTGCACTGCCACCTAGGGGGTGTTCTTTAGTGCTGCTGCTTTTGCTTCAGTAAGATCAGGAGAAATGCATTCAGTCAAGTGTGTTATTAATATTAACTGGTTGTATTTATGTAGTGTACAATACAAAACTAAACATATGCACAGACATACTTATATAAAATGAGTTGAACAAACATACTGGAGTAAATGGAGTGTAATCTGTCACAGCAGTATAATAAACCTTCTTTACACCATTCAAGGATGTTTGGACCACATTATTATGATTCTTCCATTCGTACTCACTCATAATTGAGGACTTATTGTTGATTTGAGGACCATCTTTAAGGACCGTCAGGCCTGAAGAAACACAAAACCCAAGACAAACACCTTCATTTTGCTTTTATAAAAAACTATGGTACTAATACTATGGTACTTTGACATATATTATATTTTATATATGTGACAAATATATATATATATATATATACGTATATATATACAGGTTCAAAAATCTGAGACCACCAATGGAAATGCTTCTATTTTACATAAAGGTTTCTAATTCAACTCAACATTATATTCTCAGTATTGCAAATTAAAAACATGTAGATGAATTTCAGAATGTCTTAGTATTTTTTAGTATTTCTCAGTATTCTTAGTCTATGATGTTGAAGTACTATGGTATTGTACTGTCCAAACTCACTCTCTCAGCCACTCAAATACAGGCGCACACACACTTGGTCACACACCAGCGGTCAGAAAGGCTTAACCGTGGTTATTTCTACAGAACCAATAACAAGTCCTTTATTTGAAAGGCAAAGTGTTGCGTCTTGCATAAGTGAAAAGGTCAGAGTGCCGGCGAGAGCTGAAATAGATTCAAAAACCCAGAGTGAAGTGATTGAACGCTGCAGTCTGAGACTCAAAAGAGCTGTGGAGAGATGAAGGTCAAACTGAAGTCTGAAATGATTTCCAAAGATACTTCATCCTGCACAATATTTATGGAGTTTGGCCTTAAATGCCAAGACAGGAAGTGAGTTCTTGAGAGCTTAGGCGGCGGTCTGCATTCCGGTCACAGAACTGCATGAGCTTCTTGGCACAGCGGCGAGGACGCAGAGTTCTGCGGAGCAGGATTTCACGCTCGCTCAGAAGCCCATCGGTGTCTGCGTGCAGCCACGCAAAGTACCGATGGAGAGTTTGAACAGACGAGAAAGAGGCTGGAGAGGTGAGGACATGAGGACGAGCCTCAGGGGTCCTGAGAGACAAGAAGAGCATCATAAACTACATAAAACTCAATTCATGATGGACGTTCTAGATCAACACACTTTCCAGATCTGCCACTGAAATGAGAATGTAGAAATGCGTTTAAAATCATTAGAAAGATTACACATGAATGCATGCATAATTAATCAATCAACTTTTTGTGACTTCTCTGTGCACTTTTAAAGCAGTTATTTTTTATTTACTGTTATAGTATTTATTAACATTTTGAATGAGCATTTATTTTTATATTGTCAGTTTTCATTTTAAATTTAATTGAGTCATTTTTGTTAATCTCTTTTTGTGATTTGTATTAGTTTATTTTTTTTATATTTCTATGCAGTCACTTAAACTTGTTTTATTCCATGTAGTTGCCAAGGCAATTTTTCTCATTTAAATTTTTTAGTTTTTCATCAAATATTTGTATTACTAATTTTTTTTTTTTTTTACATTTCAATTTAGCTTTATTCATATATTTATTTCAGGTTTTTTTAGTAATTATAGTACTACAATTTAAACTTGTTTTACTTCAGTTAGCTGCCAAGGAAACATTTTTTCATCTAATATTTGTATTTTATTTCATTTCAGCTTTATTTGAATTAACAAACATTTTTTTAATTGTTTCAGTTAACGACAACAACATTGTTTTAAATGTGAAGTGTGTCATTTCAGCAGCTAAACTGAATTGCAAAAATGATGTTTTCATACATATAATGCTTGAATTCATTAGTTGAGTCAGAAACTGACATGTCAGAATGCGAATAACCTTCAATGTTGAAATGTGGTTGAAATAACATCACTTGTTGATTCAACGTTGAAAAAATGAAAAAAAGTTTAATGCTAAATGGCTATAATAAGGTTAACAAAATGCATCTAAATCAACATTGAAATTGAATTCATCCACGCTGAAAAGACATTGAAACAATATCAGTGTTGATTGAAAATGCAAAATCGAAACAAAATTCAAGTGATTCAGCTTTGATCCATGCTGTTGATTCACTCATGAATAAATGTTGAAATGTCATCTGGGAACAAATCGATGTTATGAAAGAGTGAGCGTTTACTATGATGACTTAATATCTGCTTGTCATGATGTCTAGTGACTGTAATCGATGTGTGTCTCTAACCTGTAAGCAGAAGATGGAGCCTCGTTTTCAACCTCCTGCTGAAATCCTTGCATTAAACTCTTCAGAAAGCCTTACTTTCGTACACTGGGACAACCTACACAAACACAGACAGATATCGCAAATGAAATCTGCGATATACTGTATATTTTAGTGAATCAAATAGGCCAAGATCTGACCTGTTGGTTGTATTTAAATTCATTGTCATAACATATTCACATGACATACAGTTTCAACATTCGACAATACAATTAATACAAACATTGTATAAAATAAAAATTAGAACTTGTCTATACAACTCTATAAAAGATCCTTTAGATGTACTTATGATAAAAATACATATGTTTTACAGACAAGTCAGTGCTGCAATATTTACATTTTGGTGGTTCTTCACCATTCCAGAAATGCCCACGAGTCTAGTATGTATGGAAGCTTATTTTCTCCATGGAATAAAAAAAAGGTGACTTTCTCAGAATTGTGAGATATAAACTCAGAATTGAGTTATAAACTCATAATTCTGAGAACAAAGGTCAAGAAATGCAAGATGTTAACTCCCATTTCTGAGTTTATGTCTCAAAATTTAGACTTTCTTTTCTCTCAGTTCTGAGTTAGTATCTCAAAATTCAAAATTTTTTCCCATGCAATTCTGAGTTTAAGATATTACCTTTAAATCACCTTTTTATTTTTTTATTCCAAGTATGGCACGACACCTTGTATGAACAGCTTGGTCTTGATTTAGAAGAGTAAACGCATGTTGTCCCACCACAGGACAACTTCTCAAATCCAGCCTGAGATCTGACCTGAGCGAGGCGTTTGTGTGTAGCTGTTGTTGATGATGAGTGTGTGTGTTTCCTGAGCGCTGCAGTCAGGTAGTTGGTTCCTGCACACAGTACAGAATCATGTAGAGTTTTCTACACTCACTAACACACACACACAGACACATACACAATCTCCCTACCTGGCTGAAGTGCCCGGCACGGGCCGTCCTGAGTCCACTCTCACGCACTAGCAGTATCCTGTGCTGCTGTGGCACTGAACGGCTCTGTACCGCCCATCTGCACTGCATTCTGGGACAAAATGCTCCTCTGACCCCTGAATGGCCGCTTCAGCGAGCACAGACATCCTCTCATGTTCACAGGTCTTTAAAGAGTCTGCAGAGTAAGAAACAGAACAAATTCAGTATTCAAAACACTCAAATGAAGCCTTGATCATCTTTCACTCTCACCTGTGGGTCGTCTGTCGGAACGGTTTCCATTCGGGTCAGAGTTCAGCAGGATTGTCACCCAAAATGGAGGCACTGTGACTTCTGGATTTAAAACTATAATATTGTAATGCCATTTCATTAATGGCATATATATATATATATTTAATAGTAATATAAAGTATAAGTATAAAGTAAGAATGAAGTCATTAACACTGAACTCACCTGCAGCGGTCAGAACAAAGTGCTGGTCAGGATCAGGAGTGGAGCACCACCGAACGCCTCGCTCTAAACCCAGAGAGGAAACATGTGAGATACTGGGATGATTATTTAATCATACTGCAACATTTGTGTGTGTGTGTGTGTGTGTGTGTGTGTGTGTGTGTGTTCGCTCACTTGCTTGTGCAAATCCCGAGTAATATCTGACATCTGGCCTTCAACACAGATGATCATAATTGATAAGTGAGATGATAAGTGAAAAACAATTAGATTTAGATTACATATTTTGTGAAGAAAAGTAATGCTTGTACATGCAAAATTCACTGCCACAATGCTAAGGTGTTCTGTTTGGTTTCTAGAGATGTTTTCAAATCCTGAACAAAGGTATCTGCATCTATACTAAAATGAAAACCATAAAAAAACTAAATTTGAAATAAAATAAACATTAACTGTAATAAAATTAAATAGAAAAAAATGTATTTGAACTAGTTGCCAGGGCAATATTTCTATTTTCTTTTAGTTTAAGTTGAAGTACTAAAATAACTAAATCAAAAATAAACTAAAACAAAAAGTAAACCTTAAAGGGTTAGTTTACCCAAAAATGAAAATTCTGTCATTAATTACTCACCCTCGTGTTGTTCGAAACTCGTAAGACCTTCGTTCATCTTCAGAACACAATTTAAGATATTTTTGATGAACTCTGAGGGCTCACTGACCCTCCCATAGACAGCAAGGTAACTACCACGTTCAAGGTCCAGAAAAATACCAAGATGATCGACAAAGTAGTCTGTGTGACATCAGTGGTTCAACTGTAAAGTTACGAAGCTACGAGAATACTTTATTGCGCAAAGAAAACAAAAATAATGACTTTATTTCACATTTTCGTCTCTACTGCGTCACTTGAGGACGCGCGTTCACGACAGCACCATGACGCGAGCGTGTGGCGGGGCTGACCCAAATCCGGCGTAATGACGTCATCACGCCGGATCTGGGTCAGCGCTGCCACACGCTCACGTCATGATACTGTCGTATCACACCACAAGTGATGCAGTAGAGACGAAAATGTGAAATAAAGTCGTTATTTTAGCTTCGAAACTTCGTAACTTTACAGTTGAACCACTGATGTCACACAGATTACTTTGTCGATCATCTTGGTACTTTTCTGGACCTTGAACGTGGTAGTTACCTTGCTGTCTATGGGAGGGTCAAAGAGCCCTCAGAGTTAATAAAAAATATCTTAAATTGTGTTCCGAAGATGAACGAAGGTCTTATGGGTTTGGAACAACACGAGGGTGAGTAATTAATGACAGAATTTTTATTTTTGGGTGAACCATCCCTTTAATAAAAACTATATTGACAAAAAAACTAGTAACCAATAAAAATGCCCAAAACACAACAAAATTACTAAAACTTAAAATGAAAGCAGAAAATCTAATTCAAAATATTAACAAAAACTATAGTAAAATACTGTACATCCATGATACTAAAACAACACTAGTCAGTATCACTACACCCTAACAATTTGAAAATCAGTTATCAAGTTCACATAACTTTGTTCATAAGTACAATGAGCTTTCAGTAATATTTGAGTGAAATTAACTCATTTAATTTCACTAAGTTCACTGTTTGGTTTTAGTGTACAATAGTTGATTCTGCTCCCAAACAGAACTCACCAGTGCAGTTGGGCCGCAGATGTAAGACAGAGCTTCCGCTCATAGGCATCCCATCAGGAGAAGAGCACCAGCAGTAACCCGTCTGATTGTGACACTGCACCTACAGGTCAAAGGTCACTCAGACGTCACAGCATATGAAATATTGTGACCGTGACTTCCTTGTCAGTTACTCTGAACTTTAGCATCACAATACCTCTGTGTAAGTTCTGTCGGATTTGCATTCTGGGATGAAGATGGCGAAGGAATCAGATCGAGCACTGGCTTGAGCTTGAGAGCGAGCCAGTCGACATTTAGACCTCAACGCATCTGCTGACAAACATAAACACTTCAGACTGACTTTTGATGAAAAGCCTTTGTTTTCCTGTGATGAATCTCACCTGTGCATGTAGATAATACAGCCGTCCTCAGCTGGCTGTCGATGCACTGGGCACGCTGGAAAGAACACAGAGATTTATACAGTCGGCCGTTGCTGCCACACACAGCTTGATGGCGCCCTCTAGCACAGTCCAACACACACATCTGACGCCACTGCTTAGAGAACAGGAGGGCGTGAGTTTCTTTGCATCTGGCTGAATGGGAAAGGCTAGTCTGTGGAAAAACTCTCAAAAAAAGAGAATCATGGTGTCTGGCTGAAGAACAGCAGGGTGCTGTCGTGAAAAACGCTGGAGGTCCCATGATGGGAAGGTGATGCGAGACGGTTTAGACACGCTAATGAAAGATTTATATTTATGCACTCTCTCAAAGGACAAATTATCTTGTTGAAGGCAAGCAAAGAGAGTACATACTTATATTTCAAATAGCCCTAACATTAAATATTCAAAAATATCCTTGTGCACTTTAAATTTAGAAGAAAAACTAAAACTTTGGACAGTTGGCAGTTTGCTCTCAATTGGCCAATGCTGGAATAAGAACATATCAGAGCATATGTTTTCCAATTACAACAGTAACAATCTTTCTGTGCCAGATTATAACTAGTACTAAACAGCTATATATCTTTTCTATTGTACATAAAGGTGTTCTGATGTCCAAATGCACATCTATATCAGACATGTAGTGTGTAAAATAACATGCAACACAGTTTAGACTTATAATAGCACAGGTTCCATTACCCATGAATATCCCAAACATATGAGGCAGTGTTTACTGAATCCATGAAAAGAATAGAGCAGTGTGTCTTTTAATGAAGGCCAAGAGAGAGCTTGGAAAATGACTTGGACATGTTCAGACGTTAGTGGAAACATCTCCATCTCTGATGAGTGTGTACATGCCCACATGTTCTATATGCAACACACAATCATTCCTGAGAACGAACCGTGAAAACCTTCAGTAAAATTATGCTTTACAGCATAACATACTTGTAAAGGGCAAGTCATGACCCATCAGATTCAGAATTTAATCAATGTATCTTATCATTTTTGTCATTAATCATTCATGTACATTAATGTCTATTATTTGCCCTATTAATTTTTTTCTGTGTGTGTGCCAGTATGCACTGCATGTTTATAAGTTATACAGCCATTGGAAAGACAAATTTTTAACAAATTTGTACATATTAAAATCAGATTTAGGTCTCAACTGTAAGAATATAAAATCAATTCTAATATTTCAATGACAGAGTCAAGGTACTAAAGTAACTCTTAATATTTTGGACTCCAGGTTACGCATTTTGTTAAACAGTTACTGATTTGCCAAAATCATTAGGATGGAATCTTTCCACACCTTCACAAGTGTGCAGAAACAAACAACACAGAAAGTCATCGATGTCTCTGTTGGAGAACAAGGCAGCACTGTAGACACGAGGCATGTCTAACAATTTTATAACTGTGAATGAAAATAAGTGTGGCCTCAGGTGGTTGAGAGATGTGGTGCCACTTTGCTAACAGGTGTGCATATTTTGAATTTAATGCCAATATTTTTTGTCTTTTAAAAACCTTTTAAAAACGGGGTGATTATAAAAAAAAAAATGTATTCCTGTGTCGCTTTTTTATGTGTTGTGTGCTCAGGCATTTCACAAGTCCAGGTGGCTTTTTTTTATTTTTTGCAGGTTAACAGGCACATGTTTTGACAGAAATTTATGACAGAGCAATACTATAATGCAAAGAAATCCACAAAACCCTTTTTCCCTTCACTAGGGTTATATGTTAAATATTCAATCTTTGTGACTTTTTAGAGTTACTAATATTTTATAGAGTTACTAATATACAAGTCCTTCATTACACCTTTAGTTAAAGCTGCAGTCCGTAAGTTTTGCCTCTTTGTCGCCATCTCTGTTTGAAAACATGGAATTGCAGCTGTGTGTGGAATTATCTAGCTTGCGTGGGTTGTGAGTCGGCACGGCTCCAGCGCGGATGAATCTAATCTGAAGAGTATGTGTGGCAGTCAGTCACCGCACCGGTGTGGATATTTACTGTACTTCGCAATCACAGATTCTAGCCTACGTCTTGGAATATGACCCAAATAAGAATTTTCACCGTATATTGCCATCTGAACAAGTAACAAGTCTGTCACATTTGTTCTGACCAACTGAGGAAAAAAGCATTACAATAAATCTCGCTAGCACCCAATGGTGATTAAATCTAAAGATCGGTTAGCTCATATCACATCAAACCGTTCAA